GGAGAAACAACCCCCCGACGAGATTTCGAGGGGGGAAACAGCGGCGGCGGCGGAGGAGGAGTAGGAAGAACCGAAGGGGTTACAGAGGGTTTTGTAGCGGGACAACACCAGGAATTCTCGGAAGAGACAATCACAGGAGGGTGATCAAGCTTTCGATTGGAAAAAACGTGAGACCCAGAAGAGGAATTAGAAGAAGTAGAGGAAAACGAGTCGGATTTAGCCGAAACGGTGATATCCCGGCACTTCCGTCGCTTAAGCTTAGTGGGTTTGTTGTGAGAAGAAGAAGAAGAAGAAGAAAGGGAATTAGTAGAAGTAGCGTTGGTGGTAGTTGTGGTTGTGGATGCGGGCAGAGCCATTGATAAGTACACCCGTTGGTTAATGCAAACGCTAAGAGGAAAATTGTCCTTTAGCTTAGCTCAAAACCATTGGCATCAACGAATTAATAAAGAGCCATGGCAGGTTTTCACGTTAACAAAGAGGGAAAGTGGAAATTAAAACCAAACCCCTCCATTAAAAATGGCGGTGCAAACGAGACAGATAAGAAAAGGACAGAAGAACACAGCGAAGAGAGAGGTGAGAGAGAAAAAGCATTAAATAGAAGTATAAGGGAAAATCAAGAATCAAAGAAGACGACCGCCATGGCTGAGCCTTCAATGGGATTAGTGTTGAAAATTGGATAGTGTTTTTTGAAATGATTGAGAGGGAATGGAATTAAATTTGTTTGATTTCATGGGATTGAAACGTAGAATGAAATTAATTTGGATGGGGGGAGTTTGTTCCAAGTTAGGGGAGATTTGAAGAACTTGTCAATCAAGAACCAGAACCAAAACCAACAACAACCATCAAAGATTTTGATGTTTCCTTTGTCATGTCGTGTCGTTTTAATCCAAGGTTGTTGGAATTTGGAATTTGGAATTTGGAATTTGGAAATGGAAACAAAAACACACCAAAATTCTAATGTTCTTATCCTCTTGAGTTTTAACAACACCATTCCTTGATGATAAGATTTTTCTTTCTTTCTTTTTTATTTTTTAACCTCAAATAAGCTTCATTAAAACTTTGGAACACAATTAAAAATTAAAAAACAATTAGAATAATATTTGGAACACATTGAATTAATAAATAAATAAATAAATAGTCAATATATAAAACACAAGTAAACAAAAAAAAAAAAAAAAGTTATACACTATTTAAAAATTGAAAGTTGGTTTTAAAAAATTAAAAAGAATTAAAAAGTATTTGGCTTGTTAATGATCAATACCAACTTACTATTTAAATAAAATTTAATTTATTTAAAACCACATAAATAATCATAGTGATGAGTTGTTTGAATAATTTGACACCATTACTTTAAAAAGAAAAAAAAGAAAGAAAGATTTGACTATTTCTAATTTGATTTGATAGCTACGAAAATTTTGAAAAAATTGGAAGAAAATTATTTTCAAAAGTAGAAGATCAAACACCATATTTTTAATTTTTACTTCAATCAATCCACTTTATCAAAATAATAATAATAATAAAGTACGTATTACCAATAAAAGTATTTAATAAAGAATGTTCTTCTTTTTTCTTATTATCATATAACATTAAAATATCAATTTTTTAGATAATAATTGATGTTTTATCTAATCAACACGAAAATTTAAAAGATTAAAATAAATAAATAAATAAGGTAAAAAGGTTGAATAAGAGTCGAAAGCGAAGAATTTGGGACAAAAGGTCATCTTAGCTGCTTTACTTTTGTTTCTATTCTTTTTATAACTTCTTTTTACTTTATTTTGAATTATCTCACTCTAAACTAATTAACATATATAGCTCAAGCGAGTATATATATATATATATATATACTATATATATATATATATATATATATATATATATATATATGAAAAAATAGTATAATTAATCGTTTTATTTAAAGCATAGCAAAGATTTAAATGTTGGTAGGAGTAGGTAAAGAATTTAAGACTACTTAAATGCCATAGTCAACCCAATAAATAACTAATGAGAATCTTTTAATATTTGTTTTTATTTCAAACTAAAATTCCCTTGCATTTTATTAATGGATTGAATAGCTAAGATGGGCTTAGTTGGTCTTAGTTGGGCCTGGGCCATTACTTGATGACAATGCTTCAGCAGCTCCGGCCCATTTCTTCTGGAATTAAAACGAATTTGGAATATTCTTTAAAATAATAATAGAGTGAGAAGGACAAAATAATAATAATAATAATAATGAAATTTGTTATTATTAGAAAGAAGGGAGAGGAAACATAGAGGAGACAACCCACGTGACAAGTTGACCCACCCCTCTTCACCTGTAGTCGTCTGTCTCTGCAACTATCTGTGCAACAAAATATAATATTTGCTAGCGATTAACTTGAACTATTACAGTATTGGTTGAAAGAGTGTGGAAGAATGAAACAAGCATGTGATTTCCTCGTCACTGTAGACTGTAAATATGGAACACAGTGAACCACAAGGATATAAATTAGAACCATATGGGTCTTTTGTTTGTCTTATACTATGCATCAGACATCGCTGTAATATTTAGACCCCTACTGACAATAAATAATAAATAATAATCATACCACATTTATATGCTTTTGCCATTAATAAAAGGATAATTAATCGTGTTTAAAAAATATATATTTTTTATTTTTGTGGACTTTAATGTCATTTTCCTTTTAACTTTGATGAAACTGAATCTTTGTTGCTATTGTTGTGCATTGGCATCCACTCCCCTTTATACTCGAGCTGTCGTCTACGTGTATCAATTATATATATATATATATATATATATATAACGTTACAAATATTGATAATAAAATATTTATAACATGGTTAGTTTTGATATTATAATTTAAATGAATAGCTACAAATATTGATGTAATACAATTGGATTTAGGTGGCCTACATGTTATGTTATGTATGTGCCTAATGCCGCTCTAATCACACCAAATCATTTAAACTTTAGCTTTATTTGCGTTCTTCCTAACAAAATCGTAAATATCAAGGAACCATTCAGGTCGGGTGGGGTGGGCCATTGCAATAGCAATGTCCTATTTATTAGGAGTGATAGCTTAATTTTGTTTTTGTAACGTTCAAAACCCACCACTAGTAGATATTGTCTTATTTGAGTTTTCCTCTTACGCTTCCCCTCAAAGTTTTCAAAACACGTCTATTAGGGAGAAGTTTCTACACCCTTCAAAGGTATGCTTCGTTCCTCTCTTGAACCGATGTGAAATTTCAGAATCCACTTCCTTGAGTACCCAACATCCTCGCTAGTACACTGACGAATGTGAGATCTCACAATCGATCTCACAATCCAACTCTTTGAGTACCCAACGTCATCGCTAACACACTACCCAGTGTCTGGCTTTGATATCATTTGTAACAACTCAATCGCACCGCTAGTAAATATTGTTCTCTTTCGTTTGTTTGTTCCTTTTGAATTTTGCTCGAGATTTTTGAAACGTCTACGAGGGGGAGAGAATGTGAATGGAAAGTGGAGATGTGGGATGCAATATGTTAATTGGGTAGGGCAGGCAATGCCGTGGCCATATTAGACACAAATGTCAGAGAGGGTTTGGCAGTATAAGGTATGATTCGCTTTGCTAGGGTACCCTAAAACATCCACTTTCATCTCCCTTTTCCATAATTATTAAATTACTAACACATTAATTCCCAGTATTATGCATTGGTAAAATATTGGTGTATAGTTTGAAAGAGAATAATAATATAATACATAGTTTTGAAATTGATATATTAATTCAACAAGTGCCCCTACACTACTTAGAGGATGGTGTGTGGGGCTACCCTTAACACTACAACCCCTAAATGTAGGGCTTTTCTTTTCAACGCCATCCCCATCTCTTTATTTATTATTTATTTATTATTTATTTATTTATTTATTTATTTATTTATTTCTCTTAGGGCCCATACTCTCTCTTCATAGATTGTACACATTATTTCTCGAGTGGTCATTCCAAAAGTGAGAGAAAATTAAGATTTTTCTTATTTTTTTCATTAAATATTTTAAAGAATATATAATATATAGTTTAAATGTTAATTTAATTTAGAGAATAAGAAAATAATAAAAAGGATAAAGAATTATATTTTGTTTTTATTTATTTATTTATAAAAAATAGTGTTATATATAAGTTGGTCTATAAATAAGAATTGGCATAATTTCATTAATCATCTCTCATCTTCTTCTTTCTCTCTCTTCTGTGTCTGTTGCCATTTCCGCCATGGGCTTCCCTGCAAGCTACACTGAGCTGCTTCTCCCGAAGCTCTTCATCCATGTACTCTCCTTACTCGGCTTCCTCAGGAAGCTCATCTCCCTCTTGTTTCGCCTTCTAGGGCTCCAGGATTTTCTCGAACCGGACATTCCTTGGTCTAATCATTCTGATTCTTTTCCGACGGGACCATTGACGGACCTCGATCCTCTTTCCGCTGCCGTTCTCCGTGAGATTCTCCCTGTCGTTAGGTTCTCTGAACTTTTGGATCCGCCGGAGAGCTGCGCTGTTTGTCTCTACGAGTTCGAGACCGACGACGAGATCCGCCGCCTCGCCAACTGTCGCCACATCTTCCACCGCGGATGCCTCGATCGGTGGATCGGTTACGGCCAGAGGACCTGCCCGCTGTGCCGGACGGTGTTCATTCCGCCCGATTTGCGGACTGGTGGTTGTAATTTTGACGATAGGCCTTGGGAGGATTCGGAACTCTTCGAAGCACTCCACACTGATTCTTCTTCATCCTCGACGCCGACTCTTCTTAGCGCTGGTTTGTAGCTTCTGGAGATTTGATTTTCTTTTGTTGATTTTGCTGCTTTTCAATTGACATCGAAAAAAAAAAAGAGAGAAAAAGAGGGAAAGAGATGGAGATGGTTGAGTTTGATGGAGGGGAAATCTTTGTTGTTTGTTCTTCTGTACATACAAAAAAAAAAAAAAAAAAAAAAAAAAAAAAAAAAAAAAAAAAAAAAAAAAAAAAAAAAAAAAAAAAAAAAAAAAAAAAAAAAAAAAAAAAAAAAAAAAAAAAAAAACGAAANAAAGAGTTCCTGAAAGGAACTGGAAAATCAAAATCAAATCAATTACAGGTTTCAGAATTAGATCAATCTTCTTGAAATTTCCAATTCTCTCTCTCACTTTCTACAACAATACAAACAAATGGATTAGAAATTGAAACTGATGCAATATGTGATTTAGATTTTTGCATAAGGCGATGATATAGAAGAGTGGGGCAATGTTTTCGTAGCTCTCTGTCCGTATTAAAATCTGGAGATGTGCATTCATGTTTGAGTTCTCTGTTTCGTCTTTTACTCATACAGAAAGGTTTCCAAGTATTATTCCATCTTATGTTCCTTCTTTCTTAATATCCAATGATCAATTCATTTGGAGTAATCGTATCAATTACTCCTCTCTTTTCTTTTTTGTTGCTTTAATTCTGCTCCAAGATATTGGGATTCTTGCTGTTGAAGAAGATTGATGTTTCGGGCGTTGGGTTTCCTAATATAGAAGGGGTTGATTTTAGTTTCTTTTTTCTTAATTTAGAAGATCGATGCATTACAGTTGATTTGATTTCACTTTGCTTGATTTTGTGTTTTAGATTTGTGAATTTTCAAGCTTAGATTTAACTCCTCCCATGACTTCGTGGGTTTGTTAGTTGAATCTTGATTCTTTTCAATCTAAATTTTGACTTCAGATTTTATTTAGGGTTTAGGGTTTATTTTCAATCCCTAAACCCTAAACTCAACTTTTATTCTTCACTGATCTCTAAATATATTGATTAATTAACGACCGGAAGCTTCATTTCAGTAACTGTTTTTTTTTTTTTTTTTTTTTTTTTTTCCATTTTTATCATCTAATCAAATTTATGTACGATCTTATGTTTGTATGGGCCAACGCAGTGTTCTCGGCCCATTAACAGTGAGGATAGGCCCAAGCGATTATGGAAGTAAAAGAAGATATTGAAACCGTCAAAATAGAAAAGCTTAGTTCAGTTAGTTCTAGAATTAGAATGAGATTTAAATCTAAATTCTAATTTTAATTCGTCTTTTCAATTTACAAAACGACCCCTCAATTGTGGATTAATTTAATTGGGGCATTTGAAGGGGGAAAAATAAATAATTAAAAGTGTTGGTTGATGATGAGTTGATGGCATTTTTGCAAAGTGAGCAGCAGAAATGGCGTCTCCTCCGTTGGTTTAAATACCTCCTCCTTCCTCCTTTCTCCTTCCATTTTCTCTCAATTCTCTGCAAAGATCCCCTAATTCTTTCTGGGTTTTGTTTCGTTTTGTGTTTACAACTCTCAAGAACTTCATAAACGGAAAAGAAGAAGACAAGAACAAGAACAAGAACCAGAGCTTCATTTCCATGTCTTCTGATCTGTTCGTTCATGGCGATTCTTCTTCTTCTCCTTCTTCTTCTTCTTCTTCTCTGTTTCGCTGTTCCGCCTCTGATTTAGTCTTCCCATCTGATGCAGACTTCCAATTCTTAATCGGATCTTGTTCCCCTAATTTCTCCGATCACGGCATTGATCTTCACTTTTATTACCCACATCAAAACCCACTCCCCGCCGATGAATCCAATTCCAATTCAAATTCAAACTCCAATTCCGTCGATCAACTCATTCCGATCCCGGAGTTAGCTCTCATCCCAGATTCCTGTTCTTCCCCAAATGGGTTTCAAAATCTCTCAAATTTCGATGTAAAAAACGAAGAATCCCATCTGGGTTTCAACCAACCCCCACTCTGTTTCGACCCATCTGATCATAACAATAATAATGCCGCCACCGTCGGCAAATCCCTGCTCCACAGAAGTCGCGTGGAGTCTCTTATAATGGAATCCGTGTCACCAAATTTCCCCAATCAGTCCCTCCCCTGCTCTGAATCAGAGTTTTTCTCCTCCCAAATCCGTCGGGTTTTCAGCACCGGCGATTTACAGGTATGGTGTGTTATATATATTTTGGGGAGAAACCCATTTATGGTTGGTAGTGAATGTTTGAATGTGGGGGCAGAATTCGAGCATGGGACGGTCGAGGCCAGGGTGCGGGCAAGGGTCGTTCTCGAGTCCATTATTGGAGAACGGAAGCTTGGAAGAGGGGAACTTCAAAGTGGGACGGTACAGTGCAGAGGAGAGAAAAGAGAGGATTTCGAAATACAGAGCAAAACGAAGGCAGAGGAATTTCAACAAGACGATCAAGGTTAGTATAGCAGACTGAATTCAAAAACAAAAACGGTTTTCAGAGATTTGAGGATGCCGCATTAATGGGGAGTTTGGGATGAACAGTATGCTTGCCGGAAAACGCTCGCCGACAACCGCCCCAGAATACGTGGCAGATTTGCACGCAATGACGAACCTGGAGACAGCTCCAAACCTTCTTCTTCAACCAGAGAAGAAGACGAAGATGATTTCTGGGTAAAAATCTCTTCTTTTTCTTTTTATTTATTTATTCACTGAGAAAAATTTCGTATTTTATTTTATATTTTGTTTGAATGCAGCAGATGGGACGGTTGCATGCAGGGGAAGAAGAAAGAACACAATATAAAGAAATGTACGGACAAGTGCAGTTTCAGTATTGTGAGTTTTGATCGCAGCTGGAAGGAGAAGAAGAAGAAGAAAAAGAATATATATATATATATATATATATATATATATATATTATTTATTTTTTCTTTTTCTTTTCCCTTTCCCTTTCCGGTGAAGGGAGAAAAAAAGAAAAGAAAAGAAAAAAAAAAGAAAAAAGAACTTGACCAAAAGGCCCTTTATTCACAGAGGAAGTTCTGTTTTTTCTTTTTCCTCTCTCTGTCTAAATAAGTAAATAACAATAATTGAACAGAGGTGGGGGTAGTGACGGGAAAGTAGTAAATAGCTTCTGTTTTTTTTTTTTTTTTTTTTTTTTTTTTTTTTTTTTTTTTNTTTTTTTTTTTTTTTTTTTTTTTTTTTTTTTTTCCTGAGGGATGAAAATATTACACTATATATCTGAGTTTTGGTTTGTAAATAGTTATGGATTTCAATAATAATGCCATTTTTCAAATTAAAACTCATATTCGGTGGGGATTTTTTTTTTAATTTAAAATTAAAATTGATGTGTTTGTTTCCCGGGAAAGTTAGAGAATGAATGGATTGGGATTCACAGTCTAAAAAGTTCCTCCTTTTTTTTTTTGTTTGGAATTGTGTTTGATCTTTCAAGAGAGTGTTTGGTGGGATGAAAAGTGTTTAGACTTAATAGGGTTACTCACTATTTTCACAAACAAATTATTTTGGTATTTATTTTTTTAGATAAGAACGACTAAATATATTTTTTGAAGTTTAAAAACTAAATTCAACTTAATTTATAGAGAAAAAAAATATATGAAATTGGTTTATAATTTAGAAATTTATTAATTTTTTTAAAAATATTTCTCAATCATCCTATAATTTACCAAGTAAATTGTATGAAAACTTATTTTTATCCATATTCATCGACCGCTTATAAATGAAAATTTTATAAACATTAATATATAATATATTTAAAATATTTTTTAAAATTTTGGAGATGGAATAAAATCGGATTCTCAATAATTGGGATAAAATTAAAAAATTTAAACTCAAGATTAAACAAGAAAAAGCATATTTATGGTAAGAATTTTATTTTATATTTGAGCAACAAAAGGAGATGCTTTTTTCCTTTTTTTATTTATAAATTATTTTTGGGTCTTTGACCAACACATTACTCCAACGTATTGGTATTATTATTATTATTATTATTATTATTATTATAATTGTGAAGTTAATATTATAATCCCCCTCCTTGTCCTTTCAAATTTTGATGTGTCAAAAATATATATATATATATATATATATTATTAAAAAACATATTCAACGGTGGTGATTATAATCTGTTTGATTCTTCAAGCCACCATCACATAAAATTTCGTCACTGTCTTGTGATAACTATTTCTACTTAGAGTATACGAGATAGAACGTTGTTTTGTTATGTATAGCCTTCTTGACTTGGATCGTAAATAATATTCGTTTTGGTCCATTACGTATCGCAGTTGCTGTTAATCTTACGATTTCTCCATATGCTTATAACAAATATTTTGTTCATCTTTTCAATCGTATGGAATCTCAATGAATTATTTTGTTCAATAGAATCATAAGTGAATTTGCACGAGTGGTGGTGTGATGATGATCGTCACTTAATAAAGTTTATGTTTTATAATATAAACATTTTCCATAAGGCCGACAAACATTATATTATATATTAAATCTTATTCTTAATGCTCTTCAAGCTTGAAAATGACACTATATTAACCTAAAAGATAATATTTTATTTATTGAAGCAAACAAGAATATTAACCTAAAAAAAAAAATTAAAAATAAAAGTTCTTATTCACACAGCAAATTTGGAATTAATGTAATACCAATTTTTAAAAAAATACCTTACCCTTAAATAGAATGAAAAATAAATAAATATAAAAGTGGAGGAAATTTAAATAGAATTAAAATATAAAATATTATAGTGACGGGGGAGAGAAAGTGGCTTGTAGTTGACTAATTAATATATAGTTTGTAAAAATAATAATGTGACAAATGCAAGGTTGAATGATATCTCTCAACCATCTTTACAAACTTGGGAAGTTTTTTTCTTTTTTGTTATATATTCGATCCTAAAGCGTTGTGTCGGTTGCTGCTAGGTTTAAGTTGGTCTTGAGTTCATCGATCGTGTATTTGTATTCTTTTGTTACTAAAAGAACTGTAATCGAACGCTAGATGCTTCGTATTTTTTATACCCATAGTTTAGTGCACATTTTTAAGAATGGGAAGGTCTTTGGTGGCTTGAATTTTGATATTGGAACATCATTTGTCGTTGACTGTGTGGTGTGCCAAAGACTGTAAACTCGTGACTTAAAATAATTTTAAGGACAATACGATATAATTCAATAAATAACCTTGTCTTAGTTTTATTGTGTCATATCATGTTTTCTTTAAAGTTTTTAATACAATTCTATACCGTTAAAACTCTTAAATCTTATTTATATGGATTAAGATATCTCAATCATGCAATATGTACATATTGGTTAGTTTTAATCGTAAAATATGAAAATTACGACTCTTGATTTTTTTAACTAAAGACTAGATTTTTTTGCAATTCTATATAGTTTAAGTTGCATGTTTAGAATCATTCAATGTTTAACACAAGCATTCTTGTCTTGAGATATTCGATCAACGTGGTAAATTGAATTTTACTTTCTCTCGAAGTGATTCCTTATGAACGAGGGCTCGCGTTGATCTTAATCTGCCTTTGACCCGCGCGAGTTCTTGGCCAATATCATTGCTTGCATTGTATATTGGTTGAGCATTGGAAATTGGCACAAACACAAGCTTGTTATGGGCTCCATGATCTTAAGTTTTGGGCTTACGTGCTTTTTATGGGCTAATCATCTTAACTCTTTGCAATGGGCTTTCAATTTTAAAGCTTCAAATTTGAGTATTAAATTTCTACAATTAAAATAAAAATAAAAAAAACTTAATAAATCCTTACCTAAATTTACCCATTTATGTTTTTTTAGAGTTTATTTGACCACTTATTATTATCACAACATTTTAAATGCTAATAATTAATTTATTTTTATTATTTTTAATAAATAAATAATTTGTACATAAATTATGGTTCGGTCATGCTCATTTTTACAACAAATTTGTTACCGTGTTTATCTTTTTAATATAATTTTTTAGTTTGAAATCACAACTTCTTATATACGAACATAATAACGACATACTTAGTGGAATACCAATTTAAATATAATTGAATCAATAAAATATTTATTACTATTTTAAAGGCGATAATTTTATTTAATTACTTATAATTACTCAATTTAATAATTAAAAAAAAAGAGTTGAGGAGTGAAAATAAAATGAAAAAAGAAATTGGGGGTGATTAAGTAAATAGGCGAGAATCTAAAGAGGTTCGAAACCGGTTCAGAAACCGGTTCAGAAACCGGTTCAGAAACAGGTTCAGAAACCGGTTCAGAAACAGGTTCAGAAACCGGCCTGGATCTGGCAATCGAGACAAAAGTCGAAGGCATAGCATTCTTTTTCTCGTCGTCGAACTTTGGTCCTTCCTTCCCTTTCTCCTTCGTCTTCGTCTAGTCGATTTGCTCGACTCTGAAAATTCGGGATCTTACAGACAAACATGAGCGGCCACGACTCCAAGTATTTTTCCACCACTAAGAAGGGTGAAATTCCCGAGCTCAAAGAGGAGCTTAATTCCCAGTACAAGGCATTTCTCTCCCTCTCTCTCTCTACCCTTCATTTCTTCAATTTTCTATTGCTAAGTCAATGTCTAGATTTTCATTTTTGACCCGCGATCTATATCAATCCAGATGATTGCTAGCTCAGGTGCTCTTTTTTTTTTTTTAATCGTCACGGGCAACGCCTAGATCTGTTGGGTTTTGGGGTTTGCTATCTTTGTTGTCGAAGCCAGAGTCTGTGTACCTTGAATTATGTCGCTCAGTGTGCTTATTAAGGAGTCATTTATGTTATGGGAAAAACATATCGAGATGAATTTGTCAAATGTCTCGATGATAGTTTAGATACTGTGATCAACTGTAAACAGTCCAAGATGATAAGAAGAATGAGGATACTTAAAAGTTAATGTCTGAATTCAGCTGGGAGTATTGCTTATGTTTCGTACTTACCTGACAATATATAGTTGGTCATTCTGATATAGCTCCTACACAACTCATTCCGAATTTAGTGTTCATTATGATCAAATATGCTCAATATATTATTTTTATTGAGCCGATGCTTGTTTCTGGTTAAAAATTAACGCTGAACAAGCCTATCATATGATTTGCCTGTTTTACCTTGAGGACCAAAAGTTGGATATAGGGATTGCTTGAATCGAGCTGATGCACATGGCTATATAATATGTTTTTCCTTGTTGTGAAGTTAAGTGGATCTTGATAGTAGAAAAAACGGTTTGTTTCTTTAGTTTAAGCTTTGCATCTCAGCTTTTAAAACGTTTTGCAGGATAAGAGAAAAGATGCTGTTAAAAAGGTCATTGCTGCAATGACTGTCGGGAAGGATGTATCATCACTGTTCACAGACGTGGTAAACTGCATGCAGACTGAGAATTTGGAACTGAAAAAGCTGGTTTACTTGTATCTAATTAATTATGCCAAAAGCCAGCCTGATCTAGCCATTCTTGCTGTGAACACATTTGTGAAGGTAAGTACTCATAAATTTCTTATTGTAGTCTTTTCAACAAATAATAGTTTCCTTAGTTTTGGTTTAGACATCAAAGTCAAGTAATTTACCATGGCCTTGTGGAAATATGAATTGCGGAGAAACATAGTACCATTTTATGGTCTCTTGTGATTGTGGTCTGTAGAAGCTCTACAATACAGGGACCCAGCATCCAAAAAGTTCCATATGAATTGACCCCAATCTGCATACATAGACAAATGGATATAGAACTTAATCTGCTCTATTTATATTTTGACTCTATTTTATTTTTCAAAATATGAGATCTGATAGGTAATGAAAGATAATGCATCTAACTTTTTTTGTGTTGTTAAGGGAATTTTAGAAGTAACTTTTC